TCTGGTCTTTCAATCAGATGATGATGTTGTCCTGCTAGACTTCCAGAAGACTCTCAAGAGCTCCTGGAAGGTGCCTTTTTTCTTCTTGTAGGTGGCTGCCCAGCTGCCCCTCATCCTTCTCTGACCCTCCCCTGGCCACTGTATGGCTATAAATAGACACATCCAACCAGAAAAAAGGTAGGTCACTTGACAATGGAGTCATCTTAGTGCTGAATTCCTCCATCCACCATAATAAAATAAAGGGCATATACATGCATAAGTTGGAATTATGTTTGTATGATCCAAAGCATGCACTGAACAGCAATGTTGGATAAATGACCTTTGAATATGGGCTGCATTGAATGTGGACACAGTGATGCCTTCAGCTTACAGTTTTTTATTATGACCTGCTAAATACATAACTATATCTAACTTAAGAGAAGCATTATTTCTTCACTGGAAATCGATCCAGGATTTTCCTAAACTCTATGAAGGTAACGAAGGACTGCTTCTAGTAGCTTTGCCCCAGACTGAAAGTGCAAATGACTTCTAGCAGAGATGCCTTCTAGATTTCCTTCTTAAAAGACCAGCATAAGACAATGACCATATCTTGCTTGTGTTTCAAATTTGTAGAATTCGCATTGCGCAGAAGAATTTCAGAAACCCTTAGTCTCCACTGTATAGATTACAAACCAGCACAGCTCCTATTCCTATTCATTGCAAACACATTTTTCATACAACCAGAAAGAAGGCTACACAAATGAACATCACCAGATGGTCAACATAAAAATCAAATAGATTATATAATCGGAAGTAAAAGATGATGGAACGCTATACTGGAGGCCAAGAATAGATCAGGCGCTGACTCATTACAAAAATAACAAAATAAGAGTAAGACTCAAGAAGAAAACAAAACCAGTAATTATACCAAAATATGATCTAAATAATATCTCAACAGAATTTACTGATAACATAAGAAACAGATTTGCACTACTAAGCACAATAGACCGAGAACCAGAGGAACTATGGTCTGAAACCAGGGACATAATGAATGCAGACAGACACTTTCAATAAACAAAAAGAAATAAAAAAACATGGATGACAGAAAAAACCACCACAAACAATAAAGAAAAGAAGAGAAGAAAAACAAAAGGGAGATAGGAACAAACTAAGAATTATGAATGGAACATTACAACAGCTTGTGCAGAAAGATAAAGAAAATTACTACAATGACCAATGCACAGAAATAGAAGACAACAACAAAATGAGAAGAACAGGAGATCTATTCTGCAAGATCCAGGAAATCAAAGGAAAATTCAGACTAAGGACAGGAAGCTCTAGAACAATAAAAATAATATAATTCAAGAAATAAAGGAAGAAATAAAAAGATATTGGGTACAATACACAGAAGAATTCTACAAAAGAGATGACAAAATGAAGGACACATGGAATGAAGAGCCATATGAAGATGAGCCCCAAATTCTAAAACCTGAAGTGGAAACTGCAATAAGAAAAATAACAAAAAGCAAATCACCAGGAACAGACAATATTCCAACTGAACTGCTACAATCCACATTGTCAGAGTCAACTCTAGTGCTTACCAACATATGTCAACAGATATGGGAAACAAAACGATGACCAACAGATTGGAAGCAATTGATATACATCCCCATCCACAAAAAGGGAGACACAAGAGCAACTATAGGACCATAGCACTAATCTCCCATGCAAGCAAAATCATGCTCAAAATTCTGCAACATAGACTCCAACCATACATGGATTGAGAAATCCCTGAGGTCCCAGCAGAGTTCAGGAAAGGAAAAGGCACTAGGGAGCACATAGCAAACATACAATAGCTAGTGGAGCTCACCAGGGAATTCCAAAAGAAAATCAGCATGTGCTTTATAGACTATAGCAAAACCTTTGACTGCACAGACCATGAAAGCCTATGGAACACCCTTAAAGATATGGGAGTGTCAGCACATCTGATAGTCCTGATGAGGAATCTGTACTCAGGACAAGAGGTTACTGTCAGAACAGAACACAGAGAAACAGAATGGTTCCCAATTGGTAAAGGGGTAAGTGTTAGGAAGCAGTCCCAGGGGTAAAAAGTACAATATGGGGAATAGCAGCAGCCATGATGACACAGCATTTGATGGCAGCTGAGTCATGCTGACTCATGCTGTGTCATGGGAAGTGACATCATGGGGATGGTCACCTGGTGCTGGAAAGCACAGATAACTGCTGCAAAAATGCAGAGTCACTCATGTGACTGAAAAGTGTCCAGCAGGAAGAAGCAGGGCCAGAGGGACATGTGGAGCCCAGGCTATATAAGGCAGAAGCCTCTGGACACACGTGGGTTACCATGGGTTGTAGTTGATGTGGAGTTGGATGGTTGTCATTATTGCTATAAATAGCCTTGTACATAGAGGAACTAAGATTAAAGTCTCATCTGAGAGACGTCTGTCTGTGGATTCACTTTACTCTGTCTGGAAGGGGAGAGATGCTTCTCCAGCTAACACGCTACTGTTCCTGGTGCTGCACGCTAATGTGGATCTTCACGCGCTGTGTAACCACACTAACAAGGGCTATGGGCCCAGACTGCGCCAGCAGATCTGACTAGTGTGAGTAGCTGCGTGTGTCAGAAATCCAGATGAGTAGCTTTTGCTGTCTGAGTGCCAGAAGGCAGAGAGTTAAGAAGCCGAGTTGTTCAACCATGCTCCTTATCTCCAGAAGATAGTGAAAGCTGTGAAGGCTGCCAACGCTGTGCATTTGTCTTGTTTGTTGAACATAAAGAAAAAAAATGACCACTGATGACCCTTACAAGTTCAACCTAGACAATGAAGAAATAGAAATAGTAAAAGAATTCCCATACCTGGGATCAAACATTGATAGAAATGGGGACTGCAGTCAGGTAATCAGAAGAAGACTAAGAATGGGGAGAGTGGCTATGAAAGAACTAGAAAAGATTCTAAAATGTAAAGTTACACAACTCAGCACAAAAGTGAGAATCATACAAGCCATCATATTTCCTATTACCGTATATGGATGTGAGAGCTGGACAGTTAAGAAAGATGATAGGAAGAAAATCAATTCATTTGAGATATAGTGCTGGAGAAGAGTGGTGAGGATCCCATGGACAGCCAAAAGGACAAACAAATAAGTCCTAGAGCAGATCAAGCTGGAAACCTGGAAGCCAAGATGACCAAATTGAGGCTGTTATACTTTGGACACATCATGAGAAGAGAGGACTCTTTGGAAAAGACAATAATGCTGGGAAAGGTGGAGGGAGGGAGGAAGAGAGGAAGGCCACATGCTAGATGGATGGACTCTATTAAGGAGGTCATGGGTATTAAGGGGTTTCAGGATTTAAGCAGAGCAGTGGAGGACAGAGGGTCTTGGAGATGTCTCATCCATAGTGCTGCTATGAGTCGAGATCGACTCAAGGGCAGTTAACAATAACCAGATGCAAAGTATGATTTAGCAAGGCATATTATTATTATTTTAAAAATCCAGGGACAATGCCCTGGGATGGTGGGGGAGCAGATTTGTTGTTTTCCTTCTTCTATTTTGGATGTTTCCAGCATTCACCATCATCAGCATTTCAGAGACTCCAGGATGAGATCCATAAATTAGGTCACAGGCTTTCTTCACTCATAATGCAATTAAAAAAAAAAAACAAGACAGACTGGTAAGTAGTGACATTTTAATAGTGAAATGTCTTAAGCAGTTTCTGGTTGCTCACAACTTTGGAATTCTTTTTACTGATTAGTGATATAATTACTAAGTGAAAACATTAGCCAAGACACAAATGGCCCACCCACAGCACCACTGCTGGACCCCAGGAACTGAGAGTTTCTAGTCACAGAGCAACATATGTCATCCAGTTTTTTCCAGCCTAGCAGCACCCAAATGCATTCAATGACAATTGCCACCATCCACAGCCAGCATGACTATTGGTCAAGTTGGCTAGGGATAATGTAAGAAGTAGCTTATTGCTTCTGGAGTGTGACAGGTTATGAAAAGTTGGAATTGTTCTTTTCCTTTGTTTGAAGTTCTTATTCTTGTTGCCCGTATGCTTTGCAGCAATCTTAGTTAAAGCTAAGAGTGGTGATGAACTCTTAGCCATTCAGATGTTTGGGGCTTCAATTCCCCGATGTCCCAGCAGACATAGGGCCTTTACAGACTGCCAGAAATAATGCAGCTTGAGGCTACATTAACTGTCCTGTCTCAGTGCTAGGGAATCATGGGAACTGTATTTTTTCTGGGACATTGAACCTTCTCTGTCAGAGAGCTCTGGTGCCACAATAAACTACAGTTCCCATGATCCCCTAGCACTGAGCCAGGACAGTTAAAGGAGCTTCAAGCTGCAATATTTCTGGCAGTCTGTAAAGGCCCATAGTCAATGGTAAGGACTGTGAGAGTTGTACTCTAAAACATCTATAAACATCTGGTATTCCCCATCCCTGTGCTGAAGTGTTTGGAGATTCTTTGCATGTAACAAAAGAACTGCTAAAGGGAAGGATGTGCTAAGGTTGATAAAATGAAGCACAATGTACAGGAAATAGACTCTCTCTCCCTGTCTTGTAACATTAGAATTAGGGGTCAATAACCCAATGGGATTAACTGGCATTACATTCTGGACAGATAAAATAAGTTACTTATTCACCCAACATGGAATTATTTTATGGAATTTACTGCCACTTAGAGCTTCCTGTAAAATACAGAATAGCTAGTGTATATATTATAAAGAAGTATGTCAAAAACAATGCAGGGCTAGTCACAAGGCTTGTCACCACAGTAAGTGTTAGAGACATGGGGAGGGGGAGGGGGAAACTGGATAGACAAGATGGTTACCTGAAATTTCTGTTATTGTTGTTGTTGTTGTGTGCCTTCAAGTCATTTCCAACTGTGAATTATCATGAGGTTTTCTTGGCAAGATTTGTTGAGAACAGTTTGTGCTTGCTTTTCTCTGCAATTGAGAGAGTGCTAGTTGCCCAAGGTCACTCAGTGAGTTTGCATGACCAAGCAGGGATTTGGACTCTGGTCTCTAGAGTAGTAGTCTAGAGCTCAAATCACTACACCACTCTTACTCTCATGATGTTTCCATAGGTTTGAAAAGTTTCTGTGGCTACTCTCGCTGGCACAGATAAACCTGCAAGGCCAGGACACTCAAAGTTCACAAAATCCAAAGAAAGAAAACGTGTTTGTGCTGGCTGGTATGCCCATCCAGGCAGAGATCTTTGCATGCTATCTGACTTGGATGGTAAATTAGAGGTGTCATCTCATTTTCTCTGACAGTATCCTAATCACCAAACAGCTACATAACAGGCAGGTAGAACATGGTTCTTCTGTCTGGGAATAGCTGTCCAATAATCTGGTCAAAACAGATTGTTTACAATTTCATTTGATTCATTTATTAAAATAAGAACTTAACAATTTTACAAATTTCACTATAAGCAGGATAATAAAAACTTATGAATGTAGAAAGAGAAACTGACAGAGTCATCTTTTCTCTTGCTGGTTATGATTCTTGCTTGCCTATGAGAGCACAGCAAGGATTGCTGAGAAGAGTGTGCTGGTTTACAAGCGGGTTGGGAAACAGAGGCTTGTTTTCCACTGGAAAATGAGAAAGCTGCCAAGTATAGATGGGAGATGAGAAAGTAGCAGCTGGCTTTGCTGCCTTCATCAACAGAGAAGTGAAGCTTATGGTAAGGAAAATAAGAAATATGCTGGCAATGTCTGTCTCTATTTTCCCCAAGCATGTACATACCCTGGAACCCTCCAGTTTTCCCTAATGTGGCATGCTCCATATGTGTTTGACTGTAACTGCCACCATCCCCAAACAAATTCTATGCTGGCTAGGATGACAGCAGTTACACTCCAACACATCTGGAGGACATGAAGTTGATTAGACTAACCAAAACTTTAACTAAAAGGAACACTATTTTTGTCTTTAACTAAATAGGAGATATCAAATATTTAAATGTACACCTATACAGCTGATGAAGAATCACCACTGTTGTAAAGGAAAACCATATGGGAGTTTTCTCTGAAGATGCTAGCCACAGATGCTGGCGAAACGTCAGAAAGAAACTCTTGCATCGGCACAAAGGACACTAACGCGATTAGTTTGGGTGAAACATTGGCCACAACTTTTATTTGTACTCACATATTTAAATACCAATATAATTAACCATTTTGCTAACAATATATATAAGCATTTCTTAATAAGAATTTATTTGAAACATGCGCACGTGTTTTAAGCGCAAGTGCTATTGAATACTTACTTTTAACACAGCATGCATCAAATCCTTTAACTTAAGTAATCTCATAACAAATACATAACCCCTCCCCAACCGGATATGACATCAAAAGCATTTTCATGACATCATAACATTATGACATCATTAAGTTAAATATGATGTTATATAAATTTGTTTAATCTCATGACATATACCAAAATTCTTTATT